TGACCCAATGGATCCTGAAACATTTAAGACAAAGTTTAAATCGCCTCATGAAGATTTTTCAACAAAGTCTCAAACTTTAGACATTCACGTCCCTTGGTCACGAAATGACATATTTTGTATAAATGTAACCACACCACCACCTAATATGGTTTTATATCCTTATTATAATATTTATATTCGTTGGAAAAAAGTACCCGAATGTAACACAAACATCCCCCTAACAAATTTTCAAATAACATTATATAATAATCCAAAAGTTTCAGGAAGTCTTGAAAAACCAAAAGTTAAATATGATTGGTCAAAAAAAATAGCATCAGATGTAACAGAAGATTATTATTTGTGGAGTATTCCACTTTACCGAAATATAGTAGATGATTTTACAATATTTTATATTAGAATTGAAACAGAAACTGTTGTTAATAGTGGAATGTATACAGCATTTGGAATGACGGGTCCATTAACAATTTCACAACATCCTGATAAAGAAAATAAAACTTTATTTGCAGAGGTTAATAGTACGGATCCAAAAGTTGTGATACCTACAGTTATTGGAGAACAAGTTAAATCTTCAGGGAAGAGAATTAATCTAGTATCAATTTATTCTGAAATGATTATTAATTTGACATTATTGTTATCTTTTATGATTATTTTTATTCTGTTTATGTGAAATTAATTTCGTAACATTAATTTCTTAACAAATTGTTTAAACAATCTCATTTAAAGCGAAAAATGAAATGAATAAGAAATAATAAGATATAATAAGATAGTAAATAATATGTAATAGTAAGACACGTCGATAATGATAATATTTATTATTTAATATTAGAAGGCTCGAACACACGTGAAAATAAAATTTATTTAATAAATTCACGAAATAATAAATTTTCAAATATTTATAAAAAAAAACTTGATGATTTTATTTATTTAATTTCAAAAAATTTTTACAATCAAAAAAAAAGAAAAAGAAAAAAATTTTTCGACAAAAATAATACATTTTGAGAAATAAGTCATAAGACGTGCGTGTATTCAGCAAATATTAAATCAATTTGCTGGGGTTTTTTGGTTTAAATTCTTCACGATGATTCTAAATTATTTTTTAATGGACAAATATAGTGAATATTAGTAAATGACGGTAGAAATTTTATATAGAAAAATAATATAATAACCTTGAAGAACCAAATAACAGGAATGGGTTCACGATCGGTAATTTTTTGAACGTCTCCGGAAACATAATTGGCTTTTCCACTTTTAATGTAATCAAAGACGTCACATCTAATATAATTGAAAGAAAATTAGAAGGTAAATAATCATAAATATTATGAAAAATAAAACCAATTAGGTTATTTACGCAGTCATGATTTCACTATCGTTAAGGCAATGCTTTGGAGAAGGGAACAAGTCATCTCGACTTTCTTCGTGTTGGTCGGATTTAGTAGGTTTAATATCCTGTTGAGTTGCACATGATCTTAAATAAGCTTCACATTCTTGACGTTTAATTTCCTCAAATTTAACGTTCGCGTCGGTGATTATATTCATCATATCAACGAAGGTGTTAGCGGAGATGGCCTCTGGACCGGTAAGAGTATAATGCCTTTTTTGATGGTTACGGTCCATTTCACGATGAAGTTGACCTTGTTTGTCCAAAACGATACGATGGATTACACAATAAACGTCGTTAAGATGAATAGGTGACATGCGACTATCACTCCTAATTGGAAGACCAAATTTATTTTTCTTCATGATATATTCAGAAAAATAGTGCAAACATTGCACCATGAACGCACATCTGTAGGAGAAAAAAAAAAGAGCGTGTTGAGATTAAGAAAAATCTAGAATGAAAAAGGGAAAGATAT